AAAACCTCCCAACTCCCCCAGGAGTGATAGCCACTGTCTCAGCTTTATTTAATTATTTATCTATTTATTTTAGAGACAAGGTCTTGCTCTGTCACCCAGGCTGGAGTGCAGTGGTGTGATCATAGCTCACTATAGCCTCAGCCTTCTGGGCTCAGGGATCCTCCTGCCTCAGGCTCTTTAGTAGCTGGGACTACAGGTGTGAACCACCACACCTGGCTAACTTTTTTAGTTTCTTGCAGAGATGAGGTCTCACCATGTTGCCCAAGTTGGTCTTGAACTGGCTTCAAGAAATCTTGCCTGAGCCTCCTAAAGTGCTGGATTACAGGAGTGAGCTACACTTCCCAGTCCATCTCAACTTTTATAGTAAACCTTTCTGCTTTTTTTTTCCTTTCAGAAGTTGTGATAGCTAATTGTATGTGTCAACTTGACTGGGCTATGGGGCGCCCAGACATCTGATTAAACATTATTTCTGAATGTGTCTGCTGGGAGAGATGAGCCTGTGGATTGATGCGCTGAGAGGCAGATGGCCCTCCGTCATGTAAGTGGGCATCCCCCAATCCCCAGAAAGCCTGGACAGAACAAACGGTCAGAGAAGGGTTGGATTTGCCCCTTCACCTGACTGCTTGGCCCTCAGTCTTCCGGCCCAGACTGGAATCAAAACTGTCAGCTCTCTTCTAACTCCACCACCGGCTTCCCTGGGTCTCCAACTTGCAGTCAGCAGATCCTGGGACTTGTCAGCCTCCACGATCATGCGAGCTAGTACCTCAGAATAAATCTCCGTTATACACAAATGCATAGATATATTGTATGTCCATGTCCATATCCACCTCTGCCATTGGTTTCCATGTCCACGGAACCTTCGTACAGGAGTTCTGCCATCCAGGCCAGCATCTGTCAGCCTATGGTATAGTCTGACCCACTCTTGACCTTTGTGTTACAGGGAGTCTGCAGGCTTCAGTCGCTGGTGTCTGGCTTCTGTCCCTCAATTTCCCATAAGATTCACTCACTTCACTGTGTCCAAGTGCAGCTTGTTTCCATGACTACGTCATATTCCAACTTATGAATCGGACAATTTACGTTTTTGTTTTGCTGTTTGTGGACATTTGGTTTCTAGTTGGGGCATTACTGGGATAGTCCTGCCCCGAAGTTTCGGTCGGTTTCATGCTCGCCTATCTATCTATCTACAGGGTATGTTCCTCAGCGTGGAATTGTTGGGTCCTCAGAGGGCAGTTTATGCAGCCGTAGGAGATGCCACCAGATGGTTTTTCTAAGTGGTGGCGGAGGTTTACGCTCCAACAAGCAGGGAGTGGTGTTTCTCTGTTCTCTTCCTCCTAGCCTCCTCCCTCTTCTCTTTCCTTCCATTCACTTATTCACTCAACCCATGTTTACCCAGTCTCTGGACTGGGCTCTGGGGGTCTGCTGGTGAATGACAAATTCAACGGGTGGGTCTCATGGGAGTCCTCTCACTCCTCCCCCAGTTCACTAGGAGGATGGATGGGGAGATGGGGCCTGGGAGGAGCACGGCCTCCAATCCCTCCTCCCTGAAAGCGATGTGCCACGGCTCCCCACGTCTTGGGGAAGGGTCTCTCCCCCCAGAGTGAGAGTGATTTGGTCAAGTTGGTCAAGCCCTCCCCCCCGCCCCCCACCGGCGGCTTAACCGCGGGCCGAGGGGCCGAGGGGCCGAGGGGAGCGCCCGGGTCTGGTGGGCTCCAACCCTGATTATTTTTAGGCGCCTAGTCGTGTTAAGAGCCGCGGATTCCACTTGCAGGAGGTGGAGGGCGGCGGCCTCCTTCCGCCTCCCGGGGCCTCCGGGCTGCGAGGAGCGCTTGGAGGGGCAGAAGGGAGAAGGGAGGCCTCGGACCCCGGGCGGGGGTCGCCGGGGATCCCCAGCCAACACGTGGGGCGAGCGGTGACGGAGGCGACGAAGCCTCGGCACTTTCCCAGCAGCACTCTCTCTTTCTAGCAGGACTTCAAACCCTTTCGAAGGGCCTTCCAGGGCCCTGTTTACTCCTCCCGGAGAAGCGCTCAGTTTCCCCACTGTTTCATTTCGGATTTCCCAGCCCCGCGGACGAAGCGCTCAGAGCCGCCGGGGCGGCAGCGCCATCTGCCGGCTGCATTTTAAATTGCGGGACGAGATCCTCCCTTGGTCTCTCGGGCTCGGTGGCTCAGCTTGTAATCCCGCGCTTTGGGAGGCTGAGGTGAGTGGATTGCCTGAGCCCGCAGGTTCGAGACCTGCCTGGGCAAGTTGGCCAGACCTCATCTCTACAATAAATCAAAAGAATTAGCCGGGCGTAGTAGCGCGCGCCTGTAGTTCCAGCTACTTGGAAAGTTGAGGCGGAAGGATCGCCGGAGCCCAGCAGGTCGAGGCTGCGGTGGCCGGGAGCGGCCACTCTACTCCAGTCTGGGTGACAGAGTGAGACTCAACTCAAAAGAAAAAAAAAAAAAAAAAAAGAAAGCGGCAAGGATTCAACTTTTAAACATTTCGTTTACGATGCAGAATGCCTTGCAGGCACTCCCTGGCACCATTTTCTCTCTGGGTCTTGGAAGCTCCCAGGTGCAGGAGCCCCGGGGTAAACCCATGTGCATGGGGACGTCGCAAACTGTGTTTCTGCGTCATCCTTTTGCCTCCCCAGAGCACTGAGTCCCCCAAAAGGGTCTTTGTTGCTTGTAACCAACAGGCTCTGATCACAGGACCCATGGGTTCGCATCTCACCAGGGGGAGCCCAGACTTCAACTCTTACTTTTCAAGGGCTCTTCAGGGCCCCGATCCCTTAGTGCCCAGGACCTCAAAAATCTAGAGAAATCCCAGCCCTGCCAAACGGTAGGGGCACTGGTGGGGGCCTCTGGTGGGTGAGGGCGTCCTGGGCCTCTCTCCACTGGACACAGCAGCATCTCTGCGTCATGGATCGTAACGTACTTGGTTGAATCGCTTCTGACGTCTGCTAGGCATCCCATCCCCTGTGTCCTGTCCCCTCTCCGATGCCAGAGAGTCATAATGGCCTTTGCTTACCCACAGCAACAATACCTAGGGAGTGCCCCCAAAGTCCTATGTCCCAGTTCCTCACTCTGGGTCTTCCTGGGGTGGGGTGGGGGGACAGCCACTGAGGGTCAGTTCACGGGAACGTGTATTTATGAGTTCTAAGCTGTGCAGATGTCACCTCAGGATATAGACAGTTGAGAAGCCCACCCTAGAGCAGCTGGGGCAGGATGGGTGCCTTCCTCCCTGAGGCCGCCCTGGCACCGCAGAATCAGGTGGGACTGGCCCAACATGGCAGCTCTCAAGAAGGACACACGACCAGTCTGTGTACCCACCGCCTGTTGTGTCTCTGTTAGTCCCTCTGTCTCTTCCTTTCACATTTGTGCACATAAAACATACTGCTGTCTCCCCGCCAAAAATAAAAAAGTAAATAAATAAACATATAGTTTAAAATGCCAACAGCCAATGTTGTGGAAGGCTCCGGGAAGTGGGCACCTCTCACACTTAGCTGGTGAGGGAGTGAGTACAGTCTTTCTGGAGAGAGAGAAACTGAGTAGTCTCAAAATCATTTAGAGTGTTTATGATTCATAAATGTATACAATTTTTATTAATTAAAAAATAAGATTTTAAAAAGAGTCAAAAAATGTTTATGATTCAGAAATGCCACTGTTAGGAACTTCCATAAGCGTGCACAAAGACCAAAAAAGCCATGGGTCAAAGTGTTTGCCACATGTTGCCTAATACTTTTAGGACAATTTGCAACATTATGGGATGGTTAAAATAACTATGGCATATACATTAGAATACAGTGAAGCTGTGGAAAAATGATGTGGACAAATATGATATAGTATAGAGAAATCATCATATAGTTACAATTCACCAAGGAGATTGCAAAACAACATGCTAGTAATGGCTTCTGCCCATGACCTTGAGAGCCAACCGGTAAGGGCAATGGGGTGGAGGGTTCCCTCCCTGGACTCCTAGGGAAAGCCATGTGGGCATCTCCTCCATGTCTCAGAGATCAGACTCCCGTGGGGGAGTTCTCCCTTTGGGACTACTGAGGCTGCTGCAGCCATCATGACACCACAAGGAGAGAGCTTTGAAAGTGAAGGCAAAGCAGAGAAGAGCAGAACCAAGAGGCAGAGAGAGCGAGCGTGAGCGAGAGCCAGGGTGGTGCACATGAGTCCTTGGGGTCAACGTGGCCTAAAGCTAGTGAGAACCTGACTTTTAAGATGAGAGATTCCTTCTTCGTCAGGTTAGCTTGGGTCTTTGTTGCTTGTAACCAAGAGGCAGTGCATGCTCCAAATCCAGGCTCCCAGCTTGTTCACTTTGCACTGAGGCTGAGACCAGGAATGGGTAGTGCGTAGAGGCTTGCAAGCCTCTCCATAAGTGCCCGGAATGCATCCTTTCCACTGGCAGAGCTGGGGACACATGGGGGTGAGTGCATCCTGGGCCTGGCCCCCTTCTGGGTTCAGACACGAGGACCCAGGGAGAAAGAAAGTTCTTGATTCAGAGCTGGGCACCACTTTCCTCCGCTCAAAGTTCTCACCTCCCTCACTGCTTTGCATCCTTGCGACTTCTTTGAACAGCCCCTCCTCTGAGAAGCCTTCCCTGATCAGTTGGCCAAGAGATACCCTTCTGTTCCAGTTTCCATTTGCTCTGTGATGGGCCCCTTGATGGGTCACCTCTATGAGGGTGAGGAGCAGGTCTGTCCTGGTCACTGCTGTGTCCCCAGTGCCTCGTGGGGTCTGGGACACAGTGGGAGTGCCTTGGATCTCTGGTTACTGAGAAAGTGAGTAGGCAGAAGTTAGCTAGTGAGAGGGCCGACTCTGTGTGCTGCTTGGGACAGGGGGTTTGGTGCAGGGCCTCTTTGGGGAAAGGCGTTTTATTGCTTTTTTCAGGGGTGCACAGCCAGATGGGGGGTGGAACCCACCAGGGCACATGCTGCAGGTTCAGGCTCTGACCAGCCCACAATACTCCCTGCATGTGGGTCTTACCAGATATCAGGGTGTGAGATCAGACGCTAGAGCCTGGGGTTGAGGGTGAGCTTGTCAAAGCTGACACCAGGCCTTCGGCTTCTGAGCTACAGGACAAGCAGGGCTGAGCACAGGGCATGAGGGCCAGAAGTCGGGGCCACAGGCATTAGCTATAGGGAGCGAAGTCTCCAGTGTGCTTGGGCAAGACCCCAGATAGCCACAGACATCGGATGGTCTCGCTTCCTCTTGCAGTACTTTCCAGTCCTTCTAAATAAATCAAAGAGGAGCCTCAGCTGGGTGATAGCAGGGCTCTAACACATGCTTCTCTCTTTCTCCTAACAAAAGTCCATCAACAGCCTCAAACTCCGGGCCTGTCTCAGGGCCTGGTGAGGTGTAGTAACAGCGAGAGGTTTCATTGTGTTTATTTCCATAGCTGCCTTCTAATTATAGCCAGTGATTCTGGCTTTCCATTTAGGGTAGTAATAGGAGGTTTCTTTTTCAAGTAGCTTTGCATCAGTAAAAGGAGACGGCTACAAGGAAAATGGCAAGTAGACCATAGAACAGGCGGCGACGGACTGGGCACAGGGAGGGGGCATGTTGCGATGCAGGGCGTTCTGGAAAGCAGTTGGTGCATTTGCACAGGGGCAGCCTAGCTTTTGAGCAAGGCCTGCTGAGACCCCCCCCCACCAGCAGGTGGACTGGTTTTGCTGCTCCCAAGCAGAGATGCAGCTGGGGGAAGACCAGCTAGGGGGCAGAGCTAAGGGCATGGTAGGCCTGGGAGTCACTGCCCACCCCGAACGGTGCCTCCCAGCTCCTGCCCTGGCCTCAGCACTGACCCTGCACCCCCAGGTCCGGCTGGGTGACCCCCAGGGCTTTCTGGAATTTGAACCCAGGACGATTCTATTTGTGCTGCCTGTCTGGTCCTGGTGCTGTCCTTGTCTCATGATGTGGCCTTAAATCGGTCACCTCTCCTGGCCTCAGTTTCCCCATCTGTAAACAGAGGTGAGTGAAATTATCTTTAAGGACCCTTGCAGGTGAGAGGACCAGGGACATGAGCCCTCCCCTCTCCTCCACATCCCCCAGTGTGAGTCTCAGTGAGGAAAGGGGGGCTTGGGACAATCAGGCCTGGACTTAACTTCCTGCTCTGCCAATTGTTGGCTGTGTGACCTTGGGCAAATCTTAGCCCTCAGGGAGTCTGTATCCTTGCTGAGGGAAGCCTGGTCACACTGCGGGGTCCCCCGAGGCCCGGGCAGTTGCTCACAGAGCTTGTTTTCAGTTATGGTCCCACCAGGTACGAGACCTGCTAGCCATCTCTCAAGGATGCCCACTCCTAGTCGAAAGGGGAGACCACAGGACTCTCTCACAGCCGGCCGTGGAGCTGCTACAGGAGCAGAGATTCTCCAGATGAGCCCCCTCAGGCCGAGGGCCAACTGCCCAGAACAGGTTTGCAGGTGTGGCTGTGAGGCCGGCGTGGTCCTCCCTCCAAGATCCCTGATGGGTGCCTCTGTGGAAGTTGGCCTGGGTGGGAGGAATCCAGGGCCACAGACTCTGTGGATGGTTTCTATCAAGGCAACGGCAGTCACTTCAACGCAGGGCTTCCCAAGCCTCAAGGTACACAGATAGGACTCTCCTGGGAGGTGTGGGTCTTGTTAACATGCAGACTCTGATTCAGCAGGTCTGAGGCGGGCCTGACCTTTGTATTTATAACAAGGCCCTGCACTGAGGACATGGGCCCACATTCTAAAGTCCCCTGGAAACAAGGACTAATGCAGGTTGGGTGGGAGAGGGCCCTGGCAAACAAGGAAGTGGGTACCTGATGGGGCTGCTGCTGTGGGCTAAGGAAAGCTTCCAGGAGGAGGGGACTCAAGGAATTCAAGGACTTGCTCTAGGAACCCAAGAACTGAGTGGTCGTCTGACTTATGCAGAACATGGGAGATACCAAGAGGAGACGGCTGTGGTGGGTCACCCGGCCCATCAGATAGCCCATAGTGTACAAAGACTGGGCATGGCCAGAGGAAACTCCAAAGGACCCACAGGCCAGGGCGGTCAGAAGCTCTAGGGAGGGCAGCATTGAGTGTCATCGGGAAGAGGACCGATGACAGTCCTGAAGCTGCCCTGTATGGTCAGTCCCTTTTTCAAGAAACCAGAGTAAGTCCATGACCTGTGTGCTGTGTGGGGAGCCAGCCCCTGGGAGGCACTGATGGGGAGCCCCATGTGATCTGTAGGTCTCTTCTACCTCATGTAGGCATTTTCTTTCTGTGCACGCCACACACATGCACACACACACACCATGTATGTGATTCTTTTTTTTGTTTGAGTTGGAGTCTCACTCTGTCGCCCAGTCTGGAGTGCAGTGGCCGCTCCCAGCCACCACAGCCTCGACCTGCTGGGCTCCAGCGATCCTTCTGCCTCAGCCTTCCAAGTAGCTGGAACTACAGGTGCGTGCTACCACGCCTGGCTAATTTTTGATTTATTGTAGAGATGAGGTCTCACCAAGTTGCCCGGGCGGGTCTCGAACCTGCGGGCTCAGGCAATCCACTCACCTCAGCCTCCCAAGGCGCGGGATTACAGCCTGAGCCACCGAGCCTGGCATGTATGTGATTCTTAGATGCACCCCCCCCACATCAAGGCACCTCTGAACTCAGTGGCATCTTATGTCCCTTTCTGGCCTGGCTTGATGCTGACTTCCTTCAGCCCCAGGAAGACCCGAAGACCCCCAGGTCTTCAGGTACCTGGCACACCTCCATCTGAGATCCCTGACCCTGCCCTTTACTCCTGAGGAGTTTGGGGATGCCGTGTATATCCAGCCCCCACACATGCCTTAGCACCAGCTTGCAGTTCAGATTCTCAGAGAAGCCTCAACCCCCTCGGCCCTGTGCCAAGTCTGCTTCATGGACGTCTCCTCAGTGTTCCCTTCTGCACAATAGGCTTATTCAGCATTAACCCCCACACTGAGGGTCTCATTCTTTGGTTTTTGAGTTTTGTTTTTATTTGCTGGAATCTCACATTAAACTCCCTATGTTGAACATTTTTTTCTTTCTTAGGAAATGTTTGGCCCATCTTACAGTTGACAGCATTTTAGTTTTAAAGACATAGGCCAGGTGTGGTGGCTCCACCTGTAATCTTGGCACTGTAGGAGGCTGAGGCAAGAAGACTGCTTAAGTCCAGGAGTTTGAGACCAGCCTGGGTAACGTAGAGAGACTTCATCTCTACTAAAATAAAATTAAAAAAAAAAAAATAGCCAGGCGTGGTGGAGCAGGTCTGTAGTCCCAGCTACTTGGTAGGCTGAGGTGGGAGGATCGCCTGAGCCCAGGAGGTTGAGGCCACGGTGAGCTGTGATCATGCCACTGCACTCCAGCCTGGGTGATGGAAAGACCCTGATTCAAAAAAAAAAAAAAAAAAAAAAGAAGGGAAGAAATAACACAATCAGTATGATCTTCTTCACCGTTACAAATAGTCACAGCTCTTCGATTTTTCCCGTTAACACTTTGATTTTCCAAATGCTCAGCTTTTCCAGAAGTCTACTATCTCCCAGTTGAAGTGTCTTTCCTTCAGACTAAATGGAGAAGTTGATGGGTATCTTTGTTCAAAGGCTAGTCTGTTTCTATTCTCCAGGACAGAGCCTGATGGGACCCCTACAGCTTTACCACAAGGTGTCGCTGTTGAACAGAGTCTGGTGCAGTCTAGCGACTGTGATGCCTTGCTGGGTGGAACCCTGCCCTTAAGTGGTACCTCGCATTACGGTTCCCAAGTTACCCCTCATCTCCCCTGTCCCCACAATACAGTTGTACCAAATTACTGGTCTTCACTTCACCCTAATAAGCCTCTTTCGAAGCTTCCAGCCTCAAACATACATTGGGCCCAAACCAACCTGTACCATCAGCTACAGGTTCTGTGTTGAAGCTAAGTCATTGGTCCAGACTCCCCTCACTGAGACTGGCTGCATCCTTTCCTGACAGCAGACCTCTGTCAAGGGCATCCCAACCTATCAGAGAGGTTCCAAGAACATGGACCCTTAAAAGGGGAGTCTCTTTTCTACCTGGAGGCCCCACTGAGTATCTTGGTTCACCTCCCTCCAGGGCTATGCCTGCATGACCCAGGGAAGCCACTCAAGGAACAGCCATCTTATAAATCGAAATCCACCCCTGGACAATGTGTCATCCCAGCCAGATAAATTACTGGCAATCTCCCTTGCTAAAAATGCCTCTATCATAGAATCTCACGCCATTGTTACTTTCTAGCCCAGTGTCCTCCTACCCTTCAATGGAAGATGTACAACTCCCTCCCCCGTGTGTGTGTGTGTGTGTCCGTGGAGGGAGAAAAAGAGAGGCTGTTCTTGAGGGCAGTATGTGAGCTTTGTTTTGCTGAGTTGGGTCCACATGTTTGTGGAGAAAGGCTGGAATATTCGCCTAATGTTAGGATAAAGGACAGGAATGCTTGCAAGCACTGCCGAAGCGGAAAGAGCAGAGAGGGCAGACTCAGAACAGCTGAGAGGGCTGTCTGCGAGGAAGCAGATTCACCTCTGTCTAGAATGTGTGTCACACACCTTCCCTCCAGCTCCCCGCAAAAGCCCCGGGAAGGTGGACGCTCCTCTCCGATGCCGCTTTGGCAGCCGGGCCATGAAGTGGCTCTGGAATCAAGGAGGCAGAGGCAGGGGCTTCCGAGGAGTCCAGGGGCACCTCTGCTCAGTATGGATGGGGAAGCGAGGACCCGAGGCGGGGCCTGTCCAGAGTCCCCCAGTGGCTCCTCCCCGTCGAGGAACCCCAGCCGCCCGGCGGGCGCCAGCGACCCGGTCCGCAGCTTCCCTGCCGGGCCCCGGGCGGGCTCAGGACAGGTACTCCCGGACGGTGAGCTCCTTCAGGC